AGATTTAACATAAACAAAACAAAAGAGAATAAAACCCAACCCAACAAAACAATCAAAATCATAGGGTTTCCAGGAGGGAGTCGTTTCCTGGTGAGCCTTGTTCTCTCCCTCTGAAGTCCACTAGTGGTGCTGACGCATACAGAGAGGCTTGGGTCTGGCCATTCCCACCCTGTCGGCAGCCCACACATGGCACAGCTTGCCAGGCGGGGATCTCCTGGTGAGGCCTGGCTCTCTCCCCAACTCTTGCCTTTCTTTTATTAATAAATTTTATTGCTGTCTTAAAGTGTTTCCTACTGACTTCAATTTTAAGAACTAGAAAGGAATACAAAATAGTTCATACTTGCCAGATATTACATATGCAAATATTTACTAAATAGTGTCAAAATTCACATGTGGTATGTTATTAAATCATGTTTATAGATTTTTTTAAAAGGGAATTAGCCACATTAAAGAATGTTCTTTGTACTAAAAAGTGTCTGCAAACCATAAATGTGATTTTTTAACATTAGTGTTTCTTGGACACAATGAGCTTTCAGCTCAAAGAAAAATGTCTGAGAACACATAATTGGGCCAAACTGTCCTGGCAACAAAAGCAAGAAAATTGCATCAAACTGCATTCTGAAGCTTACCAAAAAAACAACTTGAAAGCACTTTGAGTCAATCAGATTTTGCTTTATGTTTCTTTGTGTTCCTCTGTTTCTACTGATGAGGGTTAGGAATAAGCGTTTGCACATATATTTGAAAGCAGGAAAAAAATCTACTAGGGCACCAGTTTGTAACATCACTACAAGGAGTGGTTGAGAGAAAAAAAATGTGGGACTATGTTTAACAGTTAAAAGGAAATGACATGATATAAAACACAAGACTGCAACAGGAAACATCAGAAAGTGGCTCAGCTGGGGTTACACAATCAACTCAAAGTGAAACTGATCAGACATTCTCTAAGTTCAAACTGCTGTGATCAGGGACATCTCTAAGGATGGGCACTTTCTGTTGATGGAGTTTCAAAAGCCAGAATCCTTAAGCGATTGACTGTGGTCAGGACAAAATTCATTTAGCGTAGCGCAGCATTACGATATAAAATAAAAAGTTCTAAAATACGTAATAAAATTCCATCCATTATGAATCAGGAAGGCTAGCCAAAGTGGATGTTAACATTTTATGGAAGTGAACATATATCTTCCCCAAATTAGTTTTATCATAAACATCTTTCTATGAACATATCATAGTATCACAAATTCAACAAATGAAAATTCACATTTTCAATCTGTGCTCAGGAGGACCTGTATTTTGAATGGATAGCATATCTATGTCTATGTATGTATCTATCTATCTCGATCACTTTGAATCAACTCACAGAAGCTAGCTCGGCTGGTGTGTAATGAGTGAGAAAGGTATTAGGTGAGGATCAGCACGCTGATCAAATCCAGTTGTTTTTCTCAGAAACAGAAGTTTTGGTGGAGCCTGGTCATGTCCAATTCCACAGAGATTGATGCATGTATTGTCTATGGCTGCTCACGGAGACCACATTGCCCACAAAGTCAATCCTATCTAATATTTGCCCCTTTACAGGAAAATGTTTATGAACCTCTAATTTATAAATGGTAATTTCAAATGCAACCATGCATCAAGATCCTTGGAGATTCATTAATGCATATTGCTAGACCCCGCTAGTAAATTCAAAAGGCCTTAACTGAGACCTAAACTTTTATAGTGGACAGTTGATGCTGATGTTGCTGGTCCATGAATCACACTGTGAGGATCCCTAGTTGAAAAGTATGACAGTCTTGATGTAGGTAGAAACACTATTCATTTTAACTAAGTCAATTTCCTCTGCCCAAAGCATAACACCATAGCATGGCTGATATGCTGCTGAATCAAGCAATTGCCATTATACTTTCAATTGACTTAGTATTATCCATCTTATTATTCCTATCAGTGACTCTAAAATTTATCACCCTCCACATTCTTTGCTTCACCAAAGAGGAATGAACATCATGCCAGAAGGCAAATGGCTTGTCCTGAAATAGACCTGGAGTCAATACAGAAGTAGCAGATGGTTGACAGCCAGATTTCTTTAGTAACTCTGCGGATTTCCAAGTCACAGGATGTTTATCGACACCCTGGAATAGCACCATTGAAAAATAACCAGAAGTCTTTATGCCCTTTAACGGACTGCCTTGCCTGACAGACAAGGTAAATATTTTCCAAATACTCTAGGTTTTCCTGTCTCATCCTCTGACCTGCGAAGAAAAAAAAAAAAAAGGTTCACGTGTGTGCTTTCAAATTTGAAGCTCTCAGCAATCCTGAGCACCATTTGTTCCCCATTTGAAGCAAAAACAGTAATGGCTTTGAAACCTTTCAAAAATAAACTAGCTTTCTAAAGGAAGAGTGATGATTGCGTTTTCCATGACTATACTCTGTTACATGGAAAACAGAATTACTATGCCAGGGTTATTAAAGATTCCTCAATTAGCAGGAGATAAATTTTCAAAGACATAATCTTGAATCAATTATATCGTATGGTAGCTTTGCAAACTGTGATTATACGTACATATATATGTATATATTTCTTTCATGAGTGTCACATCTAGACCACATAATAATAATAATAATAATAATAATAATAATAGCTCATTTTGAATTTTGAGCCAATCACATCAGTTATTTTGTTATCCTTCTAAACTCTTGACACATATGTCCTTCAACAAAGAAGTGCAGCTGGTTGTCATCTACAAATAGATGAGCATAAAGAAACAAAATCATAGTTCTGGAGTGTCATTCATCATTAGCTAAAAGTGAGAATACAGGGGGAGACTTTAAAAACATCCTATGATGTGGTGATATTGAAGCCATCACTTAACAAAAGATTTGAAACATTCATTTTTAAAATGCAAAAGGATACACCACAAGTTATAACACATAGACTCACACAATTCAATGATAATCTTTTTTTTTTTTTTCTAGTAGCCACACCTTGTTTCTAGAAAACCTGGTGTTACTTTCATGGTTGGTATCTTTCTTAATGAGAAATTTGGTGCAGATGTAGAAGAACCCTATGAATCCCAATGGTATATAAAATCATAAGCAAATAGCCAAGGCAAAATTAGCTCACTGAACTTCAAATGCAATATATCAGTGCTTAGAAATCCATACTTTTTCATGTTATTTATCAGCATGTGAAATCCCAGAATCACACATAAAGCCATATGCTAAGACTGTCTCTTTCCATGTGCATGTAGACTTATGTTTTCTCTGAATGACAATCTGGAACAAACCCATTTAGAAGATGTAACTTACTTTGATAGATTGCTATATGAAGTAAATTTAATTTCTTTAAAATATCATTAAAATAGGGTAAAATCATATCGATTCCAGTCCTAGTATTTCATGATATTATTTCTCCTTTTCAGCCACAGTGGCTAAACTCTCTTGTCTTTATCCACTTCAATGCTGGTTTGTACATTCATAATTTTAACTGTGATGTTCAATGCCTGTTTACTTTTCCATCTTCCTGTTTCTTTCAACTTTTCCTTTATTCCTATATATTTTCCTTATGTTGACTATCTGCTTACCAGGTATCTCCAAACACTGGTTGCTCCAGTGATTTCCTTCTCTACTTATTCTCGCCATCATCTGAGAAGTCTTCATCTCAGACATCTTAGCATCAAATATTTCTATCTCCAGCCACAAATGTTGTCTTTCCTATAGCTTTTATCTTGCAGGATCGTCACACCCCAGACCCATGGCGCTTCAGGTCCTCACCTATAGCCACCATCTCCTATCTTATTGTTTCAGTGACCCAGCCAATGCCTTTGATTTTTCCATACTGTGTTTTCTGTGACATCTTCTCATCGAAAGTGCCATGCTGGATTGACCGAGGTGCTAAATTTTGGCTTATCATGTTTATATTTGTTGGGTTGTGTCCTTATCATGATTCTTGCAGATATGAACTCTCTTTATTTTACAGATGAGAAAGTTGAACCTCTGAGATGTGGAGTGTACACCTGAGATTACAGGGAGTATGTGACTGAGGCACTGTCCTGTAGCTCCTCTCCCTCGAGCTGGGCCATTTCACTGCTCCTACAAAGTGCCCCTACACTCCTATTTCCTGGCAAATCTGTGAGTGTCTGGCCTTTCTGATTGTGTTTTCTTCACATAAGAAGTGGCCAATATATCAAATCAACAATCAGAGAGGAAAACGTACAAAATACAGAGAGAGCAACTCCTTGCAGTATTTGAATCTTTCTGGGAGATTTCCTATATTTTGCATTGCCTGTATGCTTTCTGAGTCTGCCCAGAGCCCATATTTCAGTGCTTAAAACTTAGACTCCCATGACCCTATCCTTCTTCCATAGACAAACTTTGGAAATTATTGCCACAAGACTGGATTTTTATCTGCAAGTGGGACAATATCTTCTTATGTGTTATTACAACCTTAAAAATTTTCATTGATTACATTAATGTCTGACTTCTTGGAATATGTAACAGTACTATTGTCTACTCTCCTTCCAGATTTTTCTATCCCTGTCAATGATTCCTGTTTACCCGCATTATTAATGACTTTAAAAACTCGTTTTCATATCTAGGGCTCCATAGTTCAGCATTCTCCATTACTTCATCTTCTGCCAACTTTATAGTAATTTGAGGAAGTTATCTCTGAGAGAGAGAGAGAGAGAGAGAGAGAGAGAGAGAGAGAGAGAGAGAGAGAGAAAGGGAGAAAAAAAGCGACAGAGGGAAAGAGATTGAGTAAAGACATTTGAAAGTATTTCATAGTGTGCTTTAGTTCAATAACTTATTTGATAGAGAATAGTTTCACATTTACATAAGATTTTCAAAAATATTACAGTCTTATGTGTGTGTGTCTCTCTTTCTGTCTCAAACACACAGAATGACACATAAATGATTCCTAGTTTAACATCTTGTACTACTCACAAGTAAGGAACCAATACTGCTACATTACAGTTAATTAAAGTCAAAGTTTATTTGGACTAACTTACCTTTTCCCTAACATCTATTCAGCTGGCACATCATGTTACATTTTTCTAAAGTCTTCTTTAGACTAGGACAGCTTCTTAGACTTTCCATGGCTATTTGATGCCTGAAGGTCTACCAGCCAGTAGAATGTCCTTCCTTCCAGGTTTTCCCTGTGTAGTTGTCATGACTGGCCTGCTGAGATGGAGATAGATACATGGAAGTAAGATACAGATGTAAATGCGTTTCTCAGTAGGTCACACTAAATGTCCACGATGTTCCCATGACTTATCAATGCTTGTGCTGAACTTGATACTTGGACGATGGAGTATTGATTGGGGTCTCCACTGTACATTTACTTTTCAAGAGTTTCCAGTTAATGGGAATACAAAACTGTATTTGAGAATGTCTGAATAATCTGAGTTTTTACACCTATCCACGTGATGCATGAGCCATCAGTTAGGAAGTTAGGAAGGGGAGAACTGGAATGGTGTAGAACATTGAGGGAACAAGAAATTCCAGCATTCACAAAAAGCAAGGACTTAGAGTCATCCAAAAGATACAGCATCCGGGATTGAACATTGCATTGGTCAGGTTCTCTGTGGCTGGGACAAAATATCTAACACCTTCATTTGAATGAGAAAAGATTTAGTTTGGCTCAACATTTCAGTTTTCAGTCCATGGCCACTGGGCTTCAAAGCAGAAACAAAATGGCAGAAGGGCATGGGTGAGGGAAGCTACTCACTTCATTTCAGCCAGGACGAAGAGAGAGTTAGAAAGAGCTGGAGAGGACATGGCTAGATATTGTCCACATGGTCATATGCCCTTGACCCTCCAGGACATGCCTGAAAGTGTAATTTCCTGATTTCCTATGCATCTTCCAAGGCACTCATCTTGGCAGTGAAGATTAACCATCACTTACCACAGACTACTCAATGTGAAATGCTGGACTTAGGAACACAGTCAGTCACATAGCGTACTGACTACACAGCACATGCAGGTGATTTTGCAAAAGATCCAAAAACACAATGATCCAAATAGTACATAACTATTCTTTTTTCTTTTTCTCACTGAGTGACCTGGAGAGGGATAGATGGCATAGTGGAAGAATAGCTCTTGCTGCCCTCAACACACGGTTTAACAACACTTGGTTAAGTCCACAGCTTCACTTCTGAGCAATGCTTTATCTTGCATGAAGGAAGAGAAAATACAGTGCATCTGGCTGCTTGCTCAAAGCACATCTTCACGCTAGCACAGACCAAGTTCTATGATCATGCACCAGCAACACAGAAGTTATTAGGGCAGTGGAGGGTCTCCCTGGATGTCCATATGTTTGGAAAAACTCACATTTATATGAATAAACCTGTATTTAAAGAATAGACACAGAGAAAATAAATGCTAGTAAAAAAAGGGCGGGTCTTTAAATAAATTCATGGTGCCAGTCTGTGATATTTGATCACGTAAAAAGATCACATCCACATCAAAGCTGCAAAGAGAATCAGCAGTGTTCAGTTTGCAAATCTACATCATCAGTGATACGTCTCAGATGGGTCAGGTGGGACTGTGATGGAAAACAAGGCGTTTGGTATTTTCATGCTTTGATGGTAGCAGTAGTCTCTATTATCCTCCCTAGGAATGCAGTCATGAATTTTTTAAAATATCTTGATAGGGAAGCCTCTTCTGTAGCCTCCCAGTTAATTCTTATAAAGGTCTTCATTTTGGGGCCCTGGAGTCCAGGGAAGATGCTTCAATGAGTTCAGATGATTGAGCCCCAAATTCCTTTTCTACCTGAGTCTCAGAAAACACTGACTAGTGGAACCTGTATAAATTCTGCAACCTGGATTACAGTGAAACAGAAGGATCCTGAAATGAGTTTTCTGTCCATTTGTAGGCTTCAGACAACCAAATGCCCAGGAAAAGAAGAGCAAGCCCTTTGAGGAAAAAGGCCACAGGAAGGTTTGTAATTCAAAAGTAGATTGTCATCTCAGATACCTGGGTTTGTGCTGCCTGCTTCTCCTCCAGGGGAGAGTGCTGGGGAGGTGAACCAGAGCAGATATGGAAATTGGCTAGGAGACTCAGGCTACACATATGCTGAACTGGACCTTCCCCTCACCAAACCACACTTTCTTTACATGCCTTAATGTTTCACCTCTTGCATTAGAAGATTCCCCAACTCTCAAAAAAGTGAAGAGAGAGAGACAGAAATGGGGAAAATTAATGAGATAAACTGATATAAAGCTTGATATCAACTAGAGACACAGACAGCCAGTACATGTTGTCCTTATCCTATCATGAAGGTGAAACATATTTATGCAGAAATGTAGATTCTCTGTGATACGATGACTAAAGACAACACGTTTGTATTGTACTAAAAAGACTGAATATAATAGTCCACTGCTGAAGGTGACCTTATGAAATAGACCCTTGTTAGTATATAGGTTAATTTTTATACTGTTGCATTGACTGTGAACATATGTCTGTCTTCATGAACTAGAATATACATTGTGTCAGTCAGCTTCCTGTTTCTGTAACAAAGACCTAAGATAATGGAAGAAAAGGAAAGGCTTTAATTTGGCTCACGGTTTCAGAGATTTCAGTCCATGGCAAAGTGCTTCATTTCTTTTGGGTCTGTGGCAAGTCAGAACATCACAGTAGAGAACATGGGGAAAAGCAAAGCTGCTCCCATCATGGCAACCAAGAAGTAAAAGACAGGAAGTGAGGAGCCAGGGCCCCAATATCCTCTTCAAAGTCACCCTCCCAGTGATCTCAATTTTTTCCACGAAGGCCCAAATCTTAAAGGATCCAGCACTTCCCAATGGAGCTACATACTGCTGACCAACCCTTTACCATGGAGGGCTCTGTGGGATAGTTACTGAAACTAAACCATACAGTATCAACAGCCCTGCGTTGTTCCTGAGAATGTTTCTTAAAGGGACTATAGTTAAGTTACACACATTCTGAAAGAGTTTTGGCCCAGACAGGACACTGTAGCCTATGAAGCCTTAGAGGCGGAACCAAGGAGCTCTTATGTCCCCCACCCCTAGGAATTTACCTGTGACTCCATCTTCCCTGCCCCGAGGAATTTACCTATGGTGCCAAACAAAGACCAGTGGGCTACCGTGCATCCCTTATGCCCCCTTAGGTTCCACCCCAAACAGAGGCTACTTACATACCCCCTGTGCCATGTGTCCGCCAGAAAGAAAGCTGGACTCCAGCAGTTGTGGGATGTTTTGGTTTTCTCTGTGTTCTCAGAATAAAGGCCTCTTTTGTTTTATATTTCTCATCTTTTGGATATAATCTTATCATTTGGTACCATGACTCGATTGGCAGGCAATTGACTCCTGGGACACATCCAGTTTGAGTCCCAGCCAATTCACGAATGGGATTACATCCTGGATTAATTCTCGCTTTTCATCTCCTGGGACCTGAATAATTTGTTGCCAACTGCTCACATACAACACTGGCCCGATTAATCTCAGGTGAGCAAACTCCAGAGAATTCTTTGGCACTGGGCTCAGCCCCAGGCAGGTTTTCTCCCTGCTTTCCATGGGTTCATGACATTCACGTCCTTAAGAAAGCCCAGGGCAGGGTCTTTCTGGTCAACCTGTGTCCACACTCGAAAACTCTCACATCCTTTGGTTTCGGAGAGCCCAAGGCAGAGTTTTCCTGGGCCAGCCCACACTGGAAGGCTCTCATGTCCCTCAGAGCTTCACATTCCATTGGGCAGAATTGTTACTGAACCCATATGGAAGGCACACGTACATTTCTCGGTGACAACCGAGAAATACGAGTTTTTGGAACCCTAACCGCCATTTGGTGCCACGGGACAAGTGACGGCTCAACCTCTGGACCACTGCTTGTTTCTTGACTAAATTAGTCATGGGAAATGCTTTTTCTAATTCCCCCAAGACACCTCTGCAATGCTTACTTTCCAATTTATGTACTCTTAAAATTAAACACACCATGAAAACTAAACAATTAATCTTTTACTGCCAAGAGGTTTGGCTGACCTACCCACTTACAGGCAGCCCATGGCCCAAAGGGGTGATCTTTGACCCCTGTATTCTCAAATATCTATATGATTTCTGCCAAACTGGTGACAAGTTAACAGAGATCCCTTACATACAGGCTTTCCTTGCTCTGAGAACACACCCGTCTCTCATTAAATCTTGTACCCCCGCCCAGGTACTTTTAGCTAACTCTGCTGTGCCACAAATTCTCCCCTCCTCCCCTCATGATCTGGTAGACGAAGTACCTCTGGTTTTTTATCGGCCACCGCCTGCCGACCCCCAACATCGTTCCTCACTGTTATCTCCCACTGTGCCATCATCTTCCCCTCCCTCTCCAGGGACCCCTAATTGTCCCAGCAGCTCTAATCCCTCTGTGTCGCAGTTATCTCCAACTCTGCAATCATATTCCCCTCTGTCTCCTGGGACCCAAAATTCTCCCAGCAGCTCTAATCCCTCTGTTAGCACTTCTTCACAGTCTCCAACCTCTTACTCTCCTGAAAATTCTCTGTCCCCTATGGCATTCTCACCTCCCGCCCACCATACTAGGTTTTGGTCCCTATGTCCTGCCGGCAGGCCGCGTGACTGTTGCAGCTTGCATCGGGAACCATCGCCATGTTGCGGCCCTCTGCCATGTGAAAGGGTGCCACCATCTTGGAACTGATCTCATGGTCAAGGGCCACCCCCTTGTGGCTCCTCTGGTGATCAGCAACAGTCATCCTGTTGTAGACCACATGACAGTTCACTGTGCTGTGGACAGCAATTTCATCGCTGCAAGGCACACAGTGAGGCGCCAACTGCCTGTGTTTCCTCGTCCCATGTTAACTGGCAGCTGCTTTGTAGCCACTCTAAAGATAATTGCTCACATGCACCTACCAGATGGATGGCTGCCCAACGGCCATCTACTCTGCAATCTTCTCCTCAATCTCTGCTACCACTTTGGGAGCAAGCTGGCCCCAAGGGATTTGTTATTATACATGTGCCTTTCTCCCTTTCTGACTTATCTCAGATTACCCATAAATTAGGTAGCTTCTCTGTTGACCCACAGAATTATATCAGGCAATTGGAATTTACAACTAATTGTTATGATTTACATTTTAAGGATGTTTATGTGATTCTAAATACCACTCTCAGCTCACAAGAGCGAACTCAGCTGTGGCAGGCAGCTTGAGGAGAAGCTGATTGCAGACA